GTGGTTGAGTTACAGTTTGGTGCTGCAGGGTCTGTGGCGGTGGCTCCGTGCACCGGGCTGGGCCCTCCTCCAGGGTGCTGGCTGCCCCCCTAGTTTGAGTCTGAGCTGTGCCTTTCATTCCCTGGTACCCACACATCCCTGTGGGACCAGCATGGACCTGCTGCATTCAGCACTGAGGTATCCCACAGTGGCTCTGACTGGGTGGCTGAAGAAAGCAGCAGTGCCTGGGCCACGCTAGGTTTGCATCCAGCCCTAGTTCCTCCCTCCCAACTTTCTGTCCCTTTGAAGGGAAAGCTGTGGCTTTGCCACCTCCTCTGCATGTTGGATCCATTTCCATAGCTTGTGGTCACCAGCTCTGTGTGCAAAGGGGAGAGGCCCTGGAGGCTGTGCCTGCTCTAGTCCTACTGGCCAGCTGTAGTTGACCAGGAACTATAAATTCACCCTTTGGTTCTAAAAACATCTCTGTTACACCCTACAGATCCAATTGTGTAAGATAGCTGCTCCCCAAAATAGAAAGGTTAGTTTTTGTCTGCATTGCTCCCTCGAAAGCATCTGTGGATATTAAGCTGCCTGGGAAACAGTTGTGTTTTCACACCCTGATGTACTGCTGTTCACTGCTGTGAATCTTCTCTCTGTGTTTGCTTGAACCCACCCAACAAATCTGGAAGCCTGTGGTGTTTCTAGTCTCTGCTGTGTGGAGAGAAGGGGGATTATCCCCATCACAGCATCCTTGTCTTCTGGGTGCTTGTAGCTTTGCAGAACTGGCTGCAGAATCCCTAGAAGGTGGCAATGCTTGGTGCTCCCTGCATCCAAGAGGTGTTTCTTTGATCTACCCAGCAAGCATTAGCATTTCTCTATTGATTGCATTGTGTGTCTGTAGAGTGTGTGAATGGCAGCAGCGACAGAGGTGCAGCCTCCTGGCCTCTCTCTGGTGGCTCCATGCAGCCACTGAGCAGCAAGTGCATGACCAGCCCTGCTGCAGGATCAGCTCTGCCCTCTCTGATTACCAGCATCCCGCTCCTTGTGCATTGCTGGAGCAGAGCATAGAGCTGCTGGGGTACACAAGGCATTCCCAGTTCAGCCTCCACAAGGCTTATTTAACCTTTATGTATCAGCAGTGGAAACACCAGCCTCCTACAGATCCCTTTCCCAGTTCTCGATTAGGTCTACCAGCCCCAGGCTTCAGGGTTTCAGTCAGGCCCACTGCCTGCATTTGCATCCCTGCCTGCAGCCAACCCGGGTTGTCACAGCCTGGTGGCCTCACTGCAGCATTTCAGAGCCCTCGGTGCGCTGCAGCCCCTCACCCCAGCGTTTCCCAAAGCCCATCCCACGACTGCCTGCACACAACATCCAGCTGGCTGCAGGAGCAGGGAGTCCCCAGGGGCTCCCCAGGCCTCCCCTCCCCACAGGGTGCCTTTCATCTGCTGCTTTGCAGATGTTGGGTTTGGCTCATGTCTGACATGCATCAATTACAGCACAACAGCCCTTAGTCTTTGGCAAAACCAACTTTGGAGTAGCTCTCCTGATTCAACTTGGTGCCAGGGCTGGAGCTGGGTGTCTATTCCTGCTTGGTGCAGTGCTGTCCTGACAGTCTTGACATCTCCCATGCCCACGTGGAGAGGGTTTCCCTGACAGAGGTCTTAACATGACACAAGCACGTGTTCCCTTGTGTTTCATGTTCATGAACTGGTGAGCTAGGCGGAGCTGCAGGCCCTGGGCTCTCTGGCCCCATCAGCAAAGCCAGCAGCCCACACACTTCCCCAGCCTCTCTCCCCTTGGGAGGGATGAGCAGCTATGTTATAGGGGCACTGGTGAAGCAAGGGTGCATGAGATCTGATCCTGCTCTTGCCAGGGACTTGGTGGCACTCAGGAATTTCTGGCAGTATTGGGTGTACATTAACCCATTCTTCTTTGCTCAGGAGGGATTGGCTTGGGTGATACTGGCACTTAGAGCATCCGCGCAGGGAGCACAGGTCAAACAAGAACAGACTCTGCCCATGATGTGTCCCAGGCAGCCACCACTTCTGCTCCAAGTTATTTCTAGGATCTTTCTGTTTCAGGCAAGTGTCTGCCAGGAGTGCTCCCTGCTACCCGCTGCAACATGCCCCTGTGCCTGTGCTGTGGAGCGGTTCTGTGGCTCAGCCACATCCTACCCCAGCTGTCACAAACCTCTTGGAGCCAAGTGGGATGCTGGAGTCCTTACTAGGAAAAGACCAGCTCAGTACTGGAAAGCCTAAAGGAAAAGTGAAGATCTGGGTTGCAGCATTTCCCTTGGGGATTCTGCTAGTGCTGCTGGGACATTTGTGTCTTTGCACCCCTACTGTCCTGGAGACACTCCTCGTTCACATGTATTCCTTTTTATTTTATTTTTTCCCAAACAGGAGCCCGGTTCTAGAAGAAAATGTCCTTTGAATCACTTTTTCCCCTCTGGCAGCACCAAAGCAGCATGGGCCGTGCTGCCAGCTGTGCTGCTCCAGCATGTCTGGGGGGGCCGCGCGCCTGCGTGTTCCGCGGTGACAAACTGTGACAAACTGCCGCCTGCCATCACCCCGTGCTTCCTGTGGCTTTTGTCTTGGGGGCTGGGATGTCCTGAGCCCTCCTGGCACTGAAGGCCATGTGGCAGGCAAGGCAGCACTTGGCATCTGCTCCCTGTGCCACCGCTAGGTTTGCCTGCATGTCTCCCTGTCCAGGGAGGGGTCAGCCCCTTCTGCATTGCTTCTGGTTGTTGGTTAGTGGAGCTTGATAGACAAGCAAGAGTGAGGAGGTGCTGAGATGCTCCTGATCTTTTACCAAAAGTGGAGTGTGTCTTTCTGCTCCATTTGTGTCATTTCTTCATTTCCCTGTGCATGCTGCTGGACCTTATCTGCAGCTATTTCCCAGGCTGCTGTCCCATCCCATGGGGCCAGCCATGCTTTGGGCTCTCCCATGCATGCAAGTGGTGTCTCCAGGAGTGAGCACCACTGCATAGCCCAGTGCTGCTGCTGGCAGCGTATTTTCCACATGATTTAGGTGTTGGGGGTTTTTTTAGTGGTATGTAGGGATTTTTTCCACTTTCGGCCATGCTGGTTTGGAACAGGACAAATTCAGGATCTGCAGTGAGTCCTCAGGCACCCTGGGCCCGTTGGCTTTGCATGAAGCAGTGAGTTGCCAGCTGTGTAAGAGCCTGAACCCACGTGTGCTCCGTGCAGAGCCAAGGAGGAGCGTGTTGCTACGGCCTGTTGGTTACAGCCTGTTTGCTCCTTAGCTCTGCGAGTAATGCTGCTCTGCACAGCCTGGACTGAGAGTTGGAAAAAAGTGCTCAAAGTGACCCAACGGTCTTTGGGATCGGTTCTGGATTTGCTTTTTATTATTTTTGTAGATTTTTTTCTGCTTGGCCAGTGTTGGAGCGTGTGGAAACGTGCTGTGCTCGCAGGAAACGAGCACTTCCGCCTCGCAGCCCCTGGCAGGCTCTGTCTGACACAGCTCCTGCAGCTCCTGCCCCTCACAGGAGGAAAAGGGATGATGGGCTTGTGTTTGGTGAGCCCCCTTGGACTAACCATGTTCCTACAGACAGCTCCCTTTAGTCCTACACACCAGTCCCTTCGGAGGGAGGGCAGCTCCTGCCCCTCACAGGAGGAAAAGGGACGATGGGCTTGTGTTTGGTGAGCCCCTTTGGACTAACCGTGTTCCTACAGACAGCTCCCTTCAGTCCTACTCACTAGTCCCTTCAGAGGGAGAGAAGAGAAAACCAGGCAGCACTTCATCAAATGTCAGAAATAATGGGGTGAGGAGGTGAGCTGAGTGTTGGAAGGAACGAGGATGAGGAGTTTGCAATAAGTCATTTGCAAATAATAACGGTTTTATTAATAATAAAAATAAAATAATAAATATAACTAAATAAGCATTGCAAAAAGCTTAAGGAAAATAAAATGCTTACTTAGGCTGGTTGTTGCAAGGGCCTGGGCATCGATCAACAGCCTGGGGCAGGAAGGACTCTCAGAAGTGTTTTCCTAAACCTGCTTCTCCCTGCCTGCATTTGAGGGGTTTGCCCTGTGCAGCTGAGACCTCCAGGAGCTTGCAAGGACCAGGCTGACCTTGTGCATACTTTATGTTTGCTGTATCCACTGTGGGTGACATAGAGCAGCTGGGGCAAGGTGGGAGCAGATTGCATTGCCCAGCAATTTGTCCTTCCTGACAGCAGGTGCTCGTGCCTGGGCGAGTGGATGGTTCCCCAGTTTTTGTTACAGAGGTGTTAGTTAAGGCAGTGTCTGTGTTTGCCTTTGTTAACCTGGAGCTGTCTCGCAGGGGAGACAAGTGCTTTGTCTGCCGGAAACCAAAGAGTTTGGGGTCACGTATCGACAGAATTAGAGCAGGATTGTGAAAGCTTCGTGGCTGCGTGGGTGTTGTCTGGCACGACCCGTGTTGATGCAGAGGCATTGGTTTCTGGTTTGTTGGTGAGAAGTGAGCTGGGGCAGCAGGCTCTGTGCCCCGTCAGCTGGAGCTCGAGGAGAGCATGTGTCAAGAGACACCAAGGACTTCTCTGTGTCTGCAGAGCCATCAAGTTCCCTGAAACGTGGCCACCAGGCATCCCCCAGCAGTCTGCACAGCGCTGTCATTACAGTGGTTGGGAGAAGCAGGCAGGCTGTGCAGGGCTGCAAGCCTTTAGCAGCAGCGCCGGGCTCAGGGCTGTGGTGCTAAAAGCCTTTGTCACTTGCTAAAGAAACTCCTGGACTTGTTGAGGACTTTCTTGGTACCATCTCTCTGCTGCAGTGGGCTTGGTGATGTGGACAGGGATTGAGGTGAATCCAGTAAATTAAGGGGAATCCCAAATTTAATGTGATTACAGATGAAGGAAGATCCCACGTTCCTCCTTCCTCTTAGCCTCCCAGTGCCCTGAGCCCCTACATGTGCTTTATTTCTGCTTTGGATGCAACAGGCAGCTCCTTTCATTCCCTGCCAGGAGCAGCATCCCAGTGTGCTGGGCACTGCCTGCCACCGCTGACCACCCTCTCTTTGCCTCCGCAGGTCCAGAGGCAGTTCCCAGCCACGCGCCCGGCATGACGGACGTTCCGCGGGATGCCGGCCCCAAGCAGGCAGCGCCGACGCGGCCGGACAAACCGGCTGCAGACTTCGGCTACGTGGGGATAGATGCCATCCTGGAGCAGATGAGACGGAAAGCCATGAAGCAGGGCTTCGAGTTCAACATCATGGTTGTGGGTGAGTTCTAACCCCGCGCCAGATGCCAGCAACGTGCTCGGCGAGATGTTTTGTTCTTCTGTAATGATGTTTGTCTTCACTGCTCCGTGGGAGCAGCAGCTCAGGCTCAGCGTTGGGGTCTTTGCCTTAGGAGTCAGCAATTCCTGCTCCCAGGGAGCTGGCCTGGATTCAGCTGTTGTTAAAGCCAACGATGGGATGCAGCCCGTGGTCCTCTGCACCTTCCCATGTCTTGGGGTGCGTCACCCATAGGCAAGTGACAGAAGGGATCACCTTGAGGGGTGTCAGGAATTGCCATCACCTTGCAGAGGGCTGCAGCAGCCTCCTTTGCCTGCTATCCTGGGAGCCCTGCACTGGTTCGGGCAGTCAGCATGTTGGGGCTCAAGGGATTGCACTGCTGGTGTGGTAGAGCCTTCATCTTTGCTAGTATTTCCTGCAGTTTGGCTAAAAATGGACTTGAGAGTTTTTTGTATTTAAGAGGTTGTGCTGAGTAGCTTAGACAGGAGAGGCAACCATGCTACCAGGGAAGAAAATCCACATGTGATTTACTGGTGGGAATAAAGACCAGTGAGAGGGGTCTGCACAGCTGGGATGTTTGGCTTGGACAGTTTCTGCTCCTTTGGGGACCTGCATTGTGGCACAAAGGGTAATGAGAGTGTCCCAGAGGGTGTTTACATGCAGGGAGGGAGGGCTGGAAGGTTGTGTGTCCGAATCCTGCTTCTGTTCCTTACCTTTCCTTGGCTGTGGGGTGGATGAGATGAGGAGCTTTAGTTCAGCTGGAGGCCACTGGCTGCATCACACTGCTCTGGGTGCAGCTTCTGCTGTGGGGGTCTGTGCTCCTGCAGCCTCTGGGGCTCCAGTGCCAAGGACTGTGGCAGCCGTGTGCTGGGTATACTGGAGAGCTGGATGGGCACCATGGGAGACTGTGTGAGAGGGGAAAGGGAAAGGAAATCGGCCTTTTCTGCTTCATTCCAGCTCTTGTTGTCTGACCTGGTCCCATGGAGCCCCTCCTGTGAGCTGGGCTCTGCTCCCTGTGGCCAGGCTGTGTAGGCATCCCATCCTGAATCTTCCAGGTGCTGTGGTGATGGGATCTCACCATCCTGCTTCCTTCTGCAAGGAGTTGTGTAGGGCTGTGGGTTTGTGATCTATGGGGAGGACTCCCCAGGCTGGAAAATTACCGCCAACTCAGTCACTGCAGAACCAGTTCTTGGAAGGTTTTTTTAAACAAATCCAGCTCTTTGCTACCAGTGGAGCAGCACTCCAGGATGGAGGGATCTGAGCACTGATCCTGAGAGCCTGCAAGTGAAATTGCATGAGCTGAGCCCCCGTTCCCCTGCCAGAAGAGGCACTCATCCCTCAACAAGCAGGCTGTGCCACGGCAGCGCGCTCAGCTTTCTGCTTTGCAGATGTGGAGGGATGTTCAGGAGAGGGCCCAGCTTTGCCTTGGCAGCACTGTGTGTGGTATGAAAGCCCGTGCTTCAGCACGGCTGGAAAACATTGTTCTTGCCTTGGCAGGCTCTGGGCTGAGTGTTTACAGGCTGGGGAATTTGTGGCAGCATAAACAAGTCAAGCTCTGGCCCTCCCAGAAGACACAGGGAGAGATTCAGGAGGAGCAGCACCTCGTGGGGTGTCCCTCAGGGAAGGGGTGCTCTGCTGTGCCTCATCCTGCTGCGTTTCTCCAGGGGGTGGCCAAGCTTCTAGGAATTAGTTTAACTCCTTTATTCCCATCCCATCTAAGCTGTGAGTTCTTGCGTTGAAGGGAGGCGACTTCTCCTTCATGGTAGGTGGGAATTGAGCATCACTGGGGCTTTTTGAAAATCCTGTGTGCCAGGGTCACTGTTCAAAAGGATTTTGCCAGCCTAACTGAAGCTCTGGAGGCTCCAGGCTAAGGCCAGCTTGGCCTCGTGTTGTCTAAGGCTGTAGATAAGAGAAAAAAGGTCTAAACTTAAAAAAAAAACAACCCAAAGCACATCTTCTGTGTTGAGTTTTTGGTGCAGAGCAGCTGGAAGGAGAGAAGAGCTGGCCAGGCATGGTGAGGCTCAGCCTGATTTCAGCTCAGGGAAATGCAATGGGCTGCAAACCAGGGGAAGTGGGAGTGGATCCGGGTCCCTGGGGTGCAGCCTGGTGTCACTGAGTGGGGTAAGCCTGTGGCCACCATTCAGAAGGGGACACTGCATCTGTGGCTGCTCTGGCAGGGGGGTTGGACTAGATGATCTTTCAAGGTCCCTTTCAACCCCTAGGATTCTGTGTGATTCTGTGTGCTGGCAGCTCTTGCCTCTGGTCACTTTCCAGGCAGTCCGGCTCCAGCAGCTTGGACAGACAGAGACCAAGTGCCAGGAGGTCTAGCAGTGTGTCTCCCTGCTCTGCCCTCTCCCCACGTGCTCCATTTAGTGATGAGCACAACAAGACGAGAGCTTCACTTTGGCTCTTTGCATTTTAAGATCACCAAGTCCAATTTGCCACTCCAGACCTGTATTTCTTTGGCCTCATGGGTTTTCAGGCAGCAGAGGACCAGGAGCTCCAGAGCCCAAGTTGGTCCATGAATTTCCTCTGCAGCCCATCTGTGACAGTGGCTGGTGAACAGGTTTTTCCTTTGCTGGATTGCAGCTGCCAAAGGTAGTGTTGCCAGCTTAGCTCCCAGTTGCCGTTTGAACCATAAGGAAGCGGGGCTGGCTGTGGTGTGTGCAGGAGCTCTGCAGTGATTGCAGGATGCACAAGACATCTGCTCTCAAGCCAATTGTCTGCTCCCTGGGTTTTGAGGAGTTACTGTGTTTTCTTTGCTGGGGAAAAGTTATTCTCTGAGCTCATGGGACAATTGGTCTGGTGTTTCAAGAGCTGCTGGTGTCTCTTCTGCATGGATCAACCTCAGCTCCAGGATATAAAGCATAAAAACACTTCTCTGTAAAAGCTGTTTTTTGTTGTGGAATCCAGTGTGCTTCCTGGGATGTTGTTTGTGGGATTCAGAGAAGGTCCTGGCCTGGACCTGCCTAAAAGGGTCCTTGCAGCCAGCTGGTCTGATTGCAAAAGCAGGTCTGGCTGGGAAGCAGCTGTAGCTGCTGCAGGACTGAGGTTTCGAGGACTGTTGCTGCTGTTAATCCTGTCCAGCTAAGGGCTTGCCAAGCTGCTCCTCAGTCTTCTGTGCAAAGCTGGAGGGGGGATTCTGCAGGAGGGTAAAGGCACAGATGTGTTAGGATGCTTCTTCCTGGCATTCCCTGGTCCCAGTGCCTTTCTTCATGGCTGCAGGGTGTCATTGCAGCCCTTAAAAACAACCCTGATGGTGTCTGCCTGTCCTCAGGGTTGCTGTGAATTTGGCTGGATGCAAGGATGCATTTGGCTCTTGCCTTGCTTGCTCCCAGCAATCCAGCTGTTTCTGAGCAAGGGGAGGAGCTTGGTGTCCACAACATTGTCCTGCCCAGGATGGATTTAAGCTCCTTGGGCCAAGGAGACTGCAGGGGAGCAGCTGCACCCCTTATATCCCTCCCACAGATCCGGTGCAGGCTCAGTCCATCAGCATCCCCATCCCCTGTCCTCTGCAAAAATAGCCCGGAAACAAGTGAGTGCTGACTGGTTTATCCTGCTGTTTTCCAGGTCAGAGTGGCTTGGGGAAATCCACGTTAATCAACACCCTCTTCAAATCCAAAATCAGCCGGAAATCTGTACAGCCAACTTCTGAAGAGCGAATCCCCAAGACCATTGAAATCAAATCCATCACTCACGGTGAGGCTCTGCAGATCCCACCTGGTGCTTTGGCTTTTGGTCCTACTCTTGTGTCTCCAGAGGCTTGTAGGAATTGTGGACCTCCTCTAAAGCTCCACTCCCTTCATTCTGAAGGGACTTTGACCATCCAGAGATGCTTGCAGGGTTGAGAAAAGCACCTGTTTTCTCATTATCCACCAGCATTGACTTAACTGTGGTGGAAGCGAACAAGTGAGACAGCCATGGGGGGTGACACTTCAGGGCAGATGTGGTTCTGCATCCCTTTGGAGGTCTGATTAGTGCCTGTTAGTGGCTGTAAAGGTGTGTTTCTCCCCCGGGGGCAACTCTCCAGCTGATTTTGGGAAAGCAGGCTTGGCCAGAGCACCCATCAATGCTTGCCTCATCACTGGATTTCTTCTCCATTGCAGAGATTGAAGAGAAAGGAGTTCGCATGAAGCTGACAGTCATTGACACCCCGGGTTTTGGAGACCACATCAACAATGAGAACTGGTGAGCTGGGGACCAGCGCAGAGGACAGGCAGCTGAGCCAGGACATCCTGACTGGGTGCTGGTGCTGAGGGCTGTAGCCTGGTTGTTGTGTGTGGCAGTGTGGTGCCATGCTCCCCGGGACTTACCCTGGACCCTGTGAGGACCCATAAACATCCTGCTGTTCCCAGCATGACACAACCTTTGTTTGTAGCCAGGAGCAGCTGTGTGCCAGTCTGGCTGGTCCCTGGACATCCCTCATGTGGCTCTGAAGGCTGAACTCTGCCAGGAGGCCCTGGGACAGTGGCTGGCTGTGTGGGATGGTCCCTCTGGGCTGGGACAGGGCTGGCCTGCCCAGCTGCTGACAGGTGTCTTCTCAGCACTAGCTGGGCTGGGCTTTGTGGGGTTTGATGCTGCTCTTACTTTTGTGCCACAAGGCAGTGCAAGGAGCTGAGGGATCCCCCCAGTCCTGCCCTGCTCAGCAGCTGGGTCCTGGGGAAGAGAGGGGAGGACGTTTCAGCCACTTGCTTGTCTGAACCAGCTGGTAAATCCCCTCCTTCAGTGGTGTGGGGAGTTGCCAAAGTGTGAACATGTGAGGTTGGTGATTTCCCTGCAGCCTGCAGTTGCTGTATGAATGGCAACTGACAGGAACTAAAACATTCCCTGTGTGAGTGTGTTTTGGGTTGGTCGGTTTGTTTGTCACATGGGATTCTGTAACACATGGCACATCCCTGGCTCAGCGGGCTCTGCTTCACACAGTCAGGCCAGGTGGGAGGTTTCAGGGTAGTCCAGATCCCCTCCACAAACCCATCATCCCATGTCCCTCTCTCTGCAGCTGGCAGCCCATCATGAAGTTCATCAATGACCAGTACGAGAAGTACCTGCAGGAGGAGATCAACATCAACCGGAAGAAGCGGATCCCGGACACGCGGGTGCACTGCTGTATATACTTCATCCCGGCCACCGGCCACTCGTACGTACCCACCTGCTGACACCCTCGGGCCTTCCCTCTTCTGCCTTTGGTCTCAGGCAGCTCAGCCATCAGGGTCTTCCTTGAGATCCCCCTGTGTTTCTTGGGGACTCCAGGAGCTTGAGGACAGTGTTGAGCCATCCCTCCTAGGGCTGTAGCACCTGGAGCTGTCACAGTACCACAGCAGAGCTGCTGTACCCCAGAAAAACATGAAGTTTCCTCTTCTAAGGGACCATCAAAGCCTTCCTGTGCTCTTATTAGCTGCTTACTTTCCTTTGGTCACTTGGCTTGCTTGACTGAGGATGGGTACCAGTCACTGAGCAATCAAATTGGATGCAAAGGCTGCCTTTGCAAACAGAACATTAATTTTCATTGCTGTGCCCCTGCCTTTGTAAGGGGAGAAGCCAGTTTCCCTTGTGCTGCCAAGGGAACGAACACCCTCACCCTTTAAGGGTGTTTTGTAGGTTGTTTGATTAGTCTGCAAGTGGGATGCAGTTTATTCAGTGCAGAGCTCTCCTGGCTCTGGCACTTCTCAAGCAACAGCATCAAAGGCCCAGATCTTGCTCTTTTTTTTTTTCTTATATTTTTTTTTTTCCTGGGCACGTAGCCTGCAGTGAAAATCTGGGGCACTTAAAATGCCTTGAAAAATGTGACTTAAAGTATCACAACAGAAAACAAGACCTAAGTTTGCTTTTGATTTGTGTCAATTCCTTCCAGTTCTGGCTCTGCCTGCGTAGGGTTTTTTTTTGGGTCAGCCTTTTCCTCTTCCCCATGTAGAGGTTTATTCCAATAGCAAAGGCTTTGTTTTGCTTCTTTCAGTGGGTAGACCAAAAATGCATCCTCCACTGGAATAAAATGACTGCATGGGCCAGTTATGCTCTTGTGTAACCAGCCATGGATTGAGAGCAGAGAGACCCAACAAAACATTTATGGTATAATATGATAAAGCAGAAACCGTTTCAAAGGGAAATGACTTTTTTAGGCCAGTCTAGCATGTTGGTCCTGCTTATCTCTGCCCCCATCTGTAGACCCTGCCTTGGCAGGTCAGGGGCTTGCAGCATTAGCTCAAACTTTCTCTCATTGCTTTGGGTTTTTAACCCTTAAAAGCACATCCAGTGTTGGACCCTGCAGATACCTGACCTATGTGGAGGTTGTAAATTTTGGGGGGTGGTCATTGCCATCCCCAGGCCAGGCAGGCAGTGGCTTGGAGCCCCATCCCCGTGTCCCCTGCCGGAGCCCCTCCAGCCGTGTGCTCTGGTTTCTCTCACCCGCCAGCAAGCAGCAGTTGCCTGGAAGTTCAGCTGCTTTTTTTCTTTCTCTCCAACAAACATGTGTTTCCAATATCCAAGCGAGCCCAGTGGTTGGAGGCTGTTGTTGCTGAGCCCTGTGCTGATCCTCCTTCTCTGTAGCCTGATAGCCCGGATGGGGCCGGTGCTTGGTCCCCAACCCTGGCTGGGGGGAGGGCTGTGCCTTCCTGCCCCAGCATCAGAGATGACCTCTGGCTCTAATGTCCCCTCCTGACATGGAATGGATATAACCTGAGGAATGAGTGAAGGGGAACAAATCCACCAGGAGAGAGAAGTTGGTGGGAAATTTTGCTTCTCCAAGAGCTTGTGCAGGCATTGAGTTTCCTTGCTGCCCCCTTAAAAAGCCCAAGCTAGATCTCTTCTCCCCATGGACAAGCCTTTCTGGTGCTGTCCATGGGCCCTGCAGGGTGGAGCTGCTGCAGCAGTGCTGGTAGCAGAGGTTCATGCTCATTTTGGAGGCTAAGTTTTTTGGAGGCCATGTCATGAAGCTGTCATACAATACTGAATGCAGGTTTGTGGCTCCACAGAGGCAGGGACCCGCTACAGGGACAGCCACAGTCAGCTGTGGAGAACCTCACCCATGCCCATGTGGAACCATCCATGTGCTTCCTGTGCCACTTGCTGTCCCAGGATGCTTGGTGCCATCCATCCCAGGACAGGGATTACACTGGGCTTGTTTGTGTTGCCTTTGGGGACGTGCATCACCCTGTGATGAAACCAAAGCAGCAGTGACTTGTGCGTCCATCCGTCCCTCCCTGCTCCATGGTCAGGTGTGGCACAGGACTCAGCATCCCTTCCCTGGCACTTGGCTGCTGCAGGCAGCTGGGGCTCAGCCTGCTGGGTCATTGGGGGGGAACTTGCTTTTTCTTAAATAAAAAGGGAAGGAGAGGAGAGAAAAAGCAACACTAACCAAGTGCACAGCTCCAGAGGCTGGAGTTGAGGGTTGCTCAACTCCATTTCAGTCTAGTCCTCCTGTCTGGGCAGCTCAAGGGTTAATCAGCAGAAAAGTTTCTGCTGCTGTCTCCCTTTGCAGGGATTTCAGAGCAGGCTTTGCAACCCATCTAGTTTGCACACACCCTGTCCTTCTTGTAACACTCCCATAAAACCATGTTTGCAAAGGCTAAGTAAGGTGCTGGCAGGGGCTTCTGGCTGCAGCTGCACAAGCCCTGCTCTGCCACCCAATAAATATCTCAGCTCTGACCCCTGCAAGGCACCACTCAGCTCTGAAACAGGACTCTGAAACACTGCCTGGCCTCTGCAGCCCCTTCTCTGCCTGTACCAGAGCTGCTGGCTGACAGCCTGCCACCCACTGCAGCTTTCCCCGTGAGCTGCCCCTCTCAGGTGCCCACTGACACATCTTGGTGATGGGACTGGGTGGCTGCTGGGTGCTCACTGGTATTTGCCTAATGCACGGCTCCAGTTCTTGCTGCTAGTTGGATCTGGGGCACAACCAAAAGGAAATCACTTTGCAGCTCAATATTAATTTTGGTTCCTATGAATGGTGTTTCAAGGGAACTGGCAGGAATGAGCCACTGCTTAGATCTTGTCCATGTGTAGTGACTGTGAGAAATGCAGAAATAATGTGTGACCAGCCATGTGCCCAGTGGCTCTAGTTTCCCCAGCCCTATGGCAAGAGGGGATGGGGGAGCAACCAGCACTGGCTGGGGTGAGCTGGAGCCTTTCCTGCAGCTTCTGCTCCAGCTCCTCCACTCCTCCTGGGGCTCTTCCAACCCCTCTCAGCAAAGCCTGACATGCATGTGTGTCTGGTTGCAAGTTTATAATATCAGGGACCATTTGGGGAAGGGGGAGATAACAGATGCTTTTTCTTCTTGAGCTCTACCTTCGCTTTCATGATCTACTTGGAGCAGATTATGTGCACCCAAACTGAAACATCTCTCTTTTCTCCTTCTGCTCTGTGTATTTGTGTAGCTCAGGGTTTCCCTGCAGTTCCTCACCACGTGTTGGCATCGATGTTTTGTGTGGATGAGCCAAGTTCAGATACCCAGTAGAAACCAGCACTGCTGTGCCCGCAGCTTGTCACGGAATGGTGGTGGTTAAACACCAAAACTGGCCCCTGCAGATCCCAGCAGAGGTCCCTGCTGTCCTGAGCTGTGCCTCGCAGCAGGATTTAAGAGAAATTAGGTCTGGTCTTGCCCCATCATGACCTTTGCCATGTTTGCCTGGGTCTGTACAGGCCTATTAGTGCAAATCAGGCTCTTTGCACTTGTGATGGCCTTAAGCTGTTCATTCTCCTTTGAAGTCTTCACATGAACTGTGCTGTCTAGCATCAGGTCTTGTTCTTAATGAAAAGAAGCAGTTTCTTTTAAATACTTAAAGGTTTTTCTGGGCTACCCAGCAGGTATTGGCAGAATATTTAGAAACTTGCAAGAATACCCTAAAAACATAGTTTGCTTTTCTGGGGAGACCCTTGGTTCCCTTCTGGTTCTCCAGGATGGTGCAGGGACCTGCCTGTGGGAGGTGACTTCCATGTTACAAGGCCCTTGCAGAAGCTGATTGGAACAGAATGTTGTATCAAAGGTGCCTTGGGCTCTTCTGGCTTTGGATGTTGACCAGCGTGGGACATGGTTGCTGTGCCTGTGTGGGTGCTGCTGGTGATGGGCAGGGGTGTGGGCTGGCTCTGGCTCTGCCTCCTGCTCTCAGACTCACTGCTGCATCCTTCAGCTATCAGTGAGGGCTCAGTAACGGGGCTCTTAAATGTCACTTGAGCTGAAACTCAAATATCTGGCTGATTGTGAATTCATCTGCATCAGCTCCATAGGCATCCTGGTCTTCACTCTAAAAAAGAAAAAAAAAGGCTAATGAAGAGGCAGGAACACAGTCTCAGTAGGGAAGAGGCTTTTAAAGGGGGAAAATTGTTTGAAAAATAGCAAAGAGAGAGGAGGGTAAAGAAATCTGCTGGGAAAGGAGCATAACTGCATTACTTCCTTGGAGGTCTGGGAAATACATTATGCAGAGCTCCAAACAATGCTTGCCAGCAGCAAGTCTGCTTAGATGTGTCCATGGGGGTTTCCTTGTGTCTTTTTCTTTTCTTTCTTTTTTTTAATAGCCAAGCTCTTTCTTTCCTGGGGCCCAGGGTGATCTGTGACTCCTAAGTTTGTGTAAGGAACTGGTTTGTCTGAATGCTGACAATGTGCTCTGGGCTATGTGTGCTGTTAACTGTGTGGGGAGAAGGTCCATCTGGCACGATCCAGTCTGATCCTTGGGAGAGGAGTGGGTTTGACCAGGGAAGGGTTTGGCTGAGTCACCACTGTTGGCTGTGCTGGAGCAGCCTCAAGCTGCTGTTTTCAGATCAGCTGGAACTGAGAGGGTCTCTCTGGAGCTGGATGTCCCTCCCTTGGGACTGGAGCCAGACAGGGATGGCCTTGCAGGATGGGGACACTGAGCGTATATGAGTGGCAGAAATGTCCCTTTGCTTCTGGGGCTCTGTCACTGACTGTGCTGCCCCTTCCCTGTGTGCTTTCAGCTTGTTTCCAACAGGCTCCTTAATACATGAGCACCCCAAAGGTCTGCCCGTAACCTGGTCTCCTCTGAGACTTCTGTGTTTCCTTTTTCATGGCAACATCTGCTCAAATGTCCTGCATGGGCCTATGTGCCCACCACCTCCAGAGCCACCAAGGGGGACCTGCAGCAGGTGGAGGTATCCCATGGAGGGTTTTACTCTAGCTAGCTTGGGAACCCCCAGCAGTAAAAACACCTTCAGAGAGGACTGAGTAATGAGGGAGGGTCATGGCCAGGAGCCTTCATCACCATCTGCAGCTGGACCAGAGCCCTTGGACACAGACCAAGGTGGCACTGGAGGTCATATCTGTGCTGTCAGCAGGAGCATTTAGCAGGGAGGGATTTCCCAAGGAGCTGATCATTTGGGTTATGCAATCTCCGCAGCTTTCCTCTGCTGAGACTTTTGTTGTAGAGATTTTCTGACATTTTTGCTCTCTGAACAAGCAGTTTCTCTTCAGTGCCTTGTGAACCCCTGGAGAATTAGTGGAGCCTTTTTGAATCCCAGCTGGTGGATGGAAGATGCAATTTTGGCTCGTGCACAATGGGCTGGTGCAGGAGGCAGTGAGAGCAGGAAGAGTGACCTGTGGCCAGTTCTGTGTCATTCTGTCCCTGGGTGGTGGGTGACAGCTTGGATAGGGCTGGAGGCAGTTTCACTCCGTGGTCTCTCGGAGCTTGATTTGTGCATAGTGGGCGGGCTGGCCCCACAGCCAGCATTGCCCGTGCTCTCCTCCTGGTTTCACCAAGGACATGTGGAGCTTTGGGCAAGTTCCTGCAGTCCCTTGTGGCCAAGCAGAGATAAAAGCCCTCTCCCACTCCCTGGGGCTTTGTGAGGGCTCACAGCTGATAGCAGGGAGCTTTGAAGTGCTGTCCTGCTTTTCACAACATGTCTTTATTTTCCCGGTCTGAAAAAAGTTGTTCCCTCTCTGTGTCCACTCTTCGAGTGCCCCCTCACTGCCAAGGGTTTGCAGCAGCCCCTTTCCTCACCAGCAGGGCACAAATCCTTTTTTTTTCTGCCATGTTTTTTCAGGCTCCGACCGCTTGACATCGAGTTCATGAAACGCCTGAGCAAAGTGGTCAACATCGTCCCGGTGATTGCAAAAGCCGACACGTTAACGCTGGAGGAGAGGGACTACTTCAAACAGAGGGTAAGGGGCTGGCTGCTCTTATCTGGACTCCCATCTCTTGTCCCCATCCCCTCCTGCCCCTTCCCTCTCCCCGGTTCCCCTGCCTTGCCCTGGCAGGGCTGGGAAGGCGAGTGCCTGGCGGGGAGCCCAGCGCATTCCTGGGGCTGCAGCTCTGAGCGATCCCATGTGGCCGGAGGAAGGGCCTGTGCTCCAAGCAGTTCCTTGTGTTTCTTTTGGATCTTTGTCAGTGCAGGATAAGTTTTGAGCTCTTGAGTCTTGAGGCCTGTTTCTCCTGCCTCCTTTGAGATTGTTGGTATTTTCAGGTTGGTTTCAGTTCTTTTAGGAGGTAGAACGTGCTGCACGTAGCAAACCCAACCTGTGCAGCATCATGCACTGATACAGGAACCAGGCGAAAAAACCTGTGGGTTTGCTGAGCTTGGCTGAGCAAGATTTATGGGGGAAGCAAGGCATGACATTCCCATGATGGGGAGCCAAGGAGGATCTGTCTGTACCCACAGAGAGATGTGGGCTTTCCTCTGGGCACCCACACCTAGTGCTGCCTAGAAATGGAGATGCCCCACTGTGGGGTTCAGTAAGGGGCTGTAAACCCGTTTGTGCAGCTGATGGATGTGGCTGCAGGCATAGTGGCCTCAACATTCCCTGCAGAAGTAGGAAAGCCACTGAGTTTCTTGGTCTGTGAGTCTGAATTGCAGGGAAGTGAAGCAAAGGGAAAGGGGATCTTGCCAAAGGAGCAGTTTCAGGGGCCACCTCCACTGGTGGACAGCACATTAGCCAGAGTATGTTTGATGCCTCTGTGCAGACCCTTCCCACACCAGTGTCTTCCCAGTTCTTTGTGGACAGGATCAGGCACTGAAATAACCAGACTGGTTTTGGGGGTCAAACCCAAGCTCTGCAAGCAGTGGAGAATGCTCCTCTGTGCTCCCTGTGAGCTGAGCCTCTACTCAGGAATCAAGTTAAACCATCTCTGCCCCTTGCAGAGGTGATATTCTTAGATGCCACACTTGAAGTTGTCTGTGTCCCTGTCCCCTCGGATCAGGCACTGCCAAGACTCCTTTTCCAAGGAACATAAGCAGACACCAAAAGGAGCTTCTTAACTTCGGGCTACATGCCTGGAAGCTACATTCCCCATTGCTTGGTGCAGCTTGTATTGTCTTACTGTGTTTTTTAATCCCAAAGCAACACCCAGCTCATAAAACTTCATCTCACCAGTCTGAACCATGTCTTGGCACCAGATTCTTGCAGAGATTTCAGGGCAGGTGCCTGGGAGGTGTGTGGCAGCTGAACACAGGTCTCTCTCCCCAAGGTGGGCAGTGTTTAGGGTGGAAAGGGAAGATGTTCCTGCTGGGCATTGCTCACAAGAGCCTCTTGGGTTAGCTGGGAGTTGCTGCTGTGGTGGGAGTGCAGTTCCTCTGCCCGTGTCTCCTTCATATGTTCCTCTGTTCTTCTCTCCTAGATAATGGCTGATCTTCTTGCCAATGGGATCGACGTGTATCCTCAGAAGGAGTTTGATGAAGACTCCGAAGATCGGCTAGTGAATGAGAAATTCAGGGTTAGTGCCTGGTGGTGTGGATTGGATGGGTTTGGATGGCCCCTGCAGCTCTGGGTGCTGGTGATGTCCTGGGGGGTCTCTTGCAAAGTGCCTCTGGTTTGTTCCAAAGGTGCTGTGCCCCTGTCCAGAGGGTCTGCCCAGGACCAAGGGACAGAAAGAGGGTGAGAAAGGTACCTGGGAAAAAGCATGATACTTTGCCTTGTCTGTGCACTGGCACCTGCCAGTGAAGTGCTGGGCTAGACTGGTTTGGGGCTAGTTTTAGACTGGTTTTGCACTGGACGTGTGTGAGAGATGCTGTTTCCCAGGTGTGGGAAACAGTTCTTCTTCCCCACATCTGCTCGTGACACTGGTCTTGGGCTGCCTGTGGTCCCTGGCAGGCAATGCTGCTCAGGAGCATTAGGGACAGACCATCTCATCCCATGAAACTCTCACCTAAAAACACCTTGATGTAGGACTTTGCTCACTGCCTTGGCTTTCTGACCTGTTTTCAAGAGGAAAACATAACCTTTTTTTTTGTCATTCTTCAGGAAATGATCCCATTTGCAGTGGTGGGAAGTGACCAGGAGTACCAGGTTAATGGAAGAAGAATCCTTGGAAGGAAGACCAAGTGGGGCACCATTGAAGGTAAGTTTTCCATGTTTCCCTGCCTCCTGAGCCCATCTCCCTGCCCTGACGAGGTGATGAGGTCCAAACCCAGCAATTAGAAGTTGAGGTGTATGCAGTACTTCCCTGCCTCTCCAAAGAAAATCACTTCCCTGCTGTTCAGGCACTGAAAACACCTTGGCCAGTGCTCCTGCTCTGAGTTCCTAAGCCTCTGTGTGCCTCAGGGGCTGCTGACTGCTGGAGGGGATACTTGTGGTTTTCTTGTGGCCTGGCTCCTGCTGGCTGCACAATTAAATGCCTAAAGGCTGGATTTGAGGGCACAGGAGTGAAGTGCTGATGTCTCTGTCTCTCAAGCCCAGATTAGAACCTTTCCAGTATGCCGTGTATTTGGCTGGTGTCCTTGTGGGATCTCTTCCTTCTTCATCCCATCAGCATCTTCCTTTTTTATCCCCCATTTTAAATCATGGTTTAAAGGCTAGATGAAGGCTCCTGCCTCCAGTGCATCTACACATTTCCCTGCCCCTGACAGCCAACTGGAATGTCTCCAGTGCCACCCATCTTATCTTCCCCCTCTTCATTTAATGGGTTTTTCTCATTTATGAGTCTTTTTAATAGGAATCCTGTGTTGAAGGATGGCTTCACAAAGATGCCAGGGAAATCAGTGCATTTTAAAGCTCTGCTGCCCTCTTGTGCTCTGAGCAGCCCATGGAAGCTCTGAGTTTAAACATTCACCTTCTGCATGTGTCATCATTCTTCAGCACGGGGAAGCCCCAGGACCCAGCCGTGGCCACGGGCAGCTTTTGCAGAGCAGTGTTATTTGTTGTCTTGCCATCTCTGCATTATGTTCAAGCCTGTTTGGGTGGAGAAAAATTTTTAAAAAGGAAGTTGATCCTTTAAATTCAAATGCCTGGTAGACTGTGGACTGTTAGACTGATTGTGCTGGAGCAACACCCCTTGATTTTTCCCTCTTACAAACACTTTTGCTCATTCCCAGCCCTGCTCAGGCAGCAGCAGCCTCTGTCAGCAGGAGATCATGTCCTTCCACAGCACCAGCAGCCTGGGCCACACAGTCACTGTGGAGCTGTGTCCAGTGCTTGCTGCAAAGCTCACCTAGTCCCTTCCCTGCCTTGTTTGGGGCCCACTTAAGCTTGTGTTGGTCTACAAGGGGGTTCATGGTGGGAGATTCTGCTGGGACCTCCTTCATTTGGTGGGAGATGGTGGGAAGGGACAGGTACCTGGGTAAATCACCTGCCTTACAGCAGCAAAAAGGACTCTTGAGTGCTGCACCCTAGGGGGGTAAGTGTCCATCTCAGCCCTCTACGTAAAGCCCCATAGGTTCTTCCTTACCCTGAGTGGTTGCCATACTCATGTCGTGGGTACACACTGATGGGTTTCTCTCTCTTCCTACCAGTGGAGAACACGACACACTGTGAGTTCGCCTACCTGCGGGACCTCCTCATCAGGTCAGTAGAGCTGTGCCCTGTGCCTGTAGCCTTTGGTCACTAGGTGACATCCAGAGAAAGGGGAGAGCCCAGTCCAGCTTGAAGCAGCAGCCTCTTCCCTCTGCTCATCCCTCCATCCATCCATCCTATCCCAGCCTGCTGCAGTTCTGCAGCCCCTCTGTGAGAGGTGGCCCCACTCAATGGGACATGGCTTCAGGGAGCTTTTCTTAGCTATGATGCTGAGTTAAGGGAGGAGAGGAGCAGTGGATGGGTCAGGACAGACTCCAAGATTGCTGGCAGTGTGCTGTGTGGCTCCAGCTTGTCTTCAAGCAGCTGGGAAGCCTTTTTCCCTTAGTGATCCCTCACCAGTGCCAGGTCCTTCTCCCAGTCTGATGACATCACCCTCCTGCATCCCAGGATTGTGCCACTGGGGGTCTGGGTGATCGCTGGTCCTTCTTGATAGTGGAGTCTCTTATGCAGTGGAACGGGAGGCTGAGCCCCTGGACTTGCTGGAGGGACCATTGGGCTCTTCCTAAATGCAGGATAAACACTACACACGTGAGCTGTTGCTGGCAGAGAGTGTGTGGGGCTACAGAACCCAGGGAATTGCAGGGCTGGGGTCCTCCTGGATGGGTGCTATGCAGCCAAGGCTCCATGTACCCAAGACTATTGGTACAAGTGAAGGCTTCTTGTCTTGGCTGCCCATAATTGTCTTTGCTTCCTTCCCCCCATGCCCTAGTTATTGTTAAGCAGTAAAGCAGGAGGGGAAATCTGGGCTGGAGGGGATGTTTGAAAGCAGAGGTTGGGGGTTGCAAGGGCTGGGGTGGCAGAGGCTGGGCTGGTTGAACCTGTACCCAGTGAAGTACCATTGCCCCCATCTCCCTTTCTTGCAGGACGCATATGCAGAACATAAAGGATATTACCAGCAACATCCACTTTGAAGCCTACAGGGTGAAGAGGCTGAACGAGGGCCAGAGCTCGCTCTCCAATGGCGTGACCGACAAAGAGCTGGTGGCTCACGAAATGTAACCGTCTCGCTCTGTAGCCAGGACCTTGCTCGCTCACGCTCGCTGTTTCTCCCCTCTTCCCTCTTTATTTTTATATAAATCCTCTGCCACTGTCCCTCTTCCCAACCCCCCCCCAGCCCCCTGCCAATGTTAACTGACCAAATAACCAGACGCTGTCTCTGTTGTGCAGAGCGGGGTGACCGCTCGCTCCCACCTGCTCCATGGCTCAGATTTTCTGCTCAGTGCCCCCCAGCAGCCCTGGACTGGGCACCTGTCCCCTGCAGAGGTTGGGCTCTCACTGGCCCCCATGTTGGCTTGACAGCCAAGCTCAGGGGAGCAAATCTGAGGGGCCAGCAGGGTTGGGATGCCCCCGGGAGCCCTGCCTGCCCATCCATGCAGAGGCTCTTCTCCGTCCGTTGAAGGTGAGGGTTCCTCCAGGTGAACGTAGCCTTTGGAAGCAAGGTACTGGTATGAAGAGTGCAAGACGGTGCCATCCTTGTCTCCTGCCACCTCCTCCAAGCCCTCTGCAGCCCTTTGGGAACCACCAGCCCCCAACCCAACCCCTCTACCTTGCCTACATGCAATAAACTGGGAGCGTTTAGGTGTCACCTCGCCTGTCACTGACCCCCGGCCAGGCAGAGCGACCTGCTTTGGGAGAAGTGCCTTTTCAGACTGTTACCTTGCAATAGCCTGGGAGTGGGAAGGGAGGGAGGGCTGCCTTGTCTGTCTTTACAGCTTACAAAAGGTCTGCAACACTTTGTAGAGACTCCTTTTTCCTCTCTTTTGGGCCATAGATGTGGCTGATGTCCTGGGAACACTTGTATATTTATTTTTCATTCAGTTGGGTGGGGTTTTTTCTGCTGAAGGCTCCAAGTGTGTTTGCCCAAAGGGGGCTGAGAGGGGAACATCTCTGCAAAGCGGTGGTGGGAGGTGAGGGGTTGTCCTGTCTGACCCTTGTGATTCTTGGGCTTTTCCCTACGTCAGGAGGCTGTTGGGTATTTTTTTTATTTCTTTTTTTATTATTTCTTTGATCCCCTGTGTGACATGTCTGTGTAACACGCTCCTCTGTTCTGCTAGTCCTTGTGCAAGGGGGTTGTCCCTGTGCAGACCGAGCCCCACAGCCACGGGGAGGGCTGGGACAGTGTTTGTGGGTGCTGCATCCCATGGGCCCCCCTGCGCTGCCCCTCATGACCTCTTTCAATGAGTCTCCAGGAAGTAAGACCCTGCAAAGGGGAGTTGGTGAAATAACACCATGACACAGCAGCAGGTGGTCCTGGAGCAGAGCTCTGCAGTCCTGCCCCCTCCCCAGCTCCGCTTGCCTTTCTGTTTGTCCTGTCAGTCTCCAGATCCTCTCCAAGGGATAAAACTTTCTGCAAATCACCCTTTTTTGTTTTGTTGTTTTTTTTTTGGGGGGGGGGGCACATCCCAAAATGGCAGCGTGTCCCACCCTCTAGCACTGGAAGGCACCTGCAAAGCCCACCCCATGGTCTCCAAAGGGGGCAGAGCCACTTTCTTCAGCACAGGTGACCAGAAGGAAGAAGGTTGCTCTCCTCTTGGTGGGCATGCCCAGATAACCTGGCTCAGCAGGGGGTTTGGAGGGGCTCCCCACACACCCCTCCCCCACCCCAGCAGCCAAAGGGGTGTGTGTGGGGAGGAGCACCACAAGGAGAACCCACTCCCCCTAACTCTTTCTGCCCCTGCTACAGCACAACTGTTGGGGAAGAACAACTCTCTACTTGCTGACTTGCTATATTTTAGCAAAAACAAGACCCCAAAAAGTGTATTAACTGAAAAAAAATATAAAATATATGTATATTTCAAGTGTTAAAGACTATGAACGGGGAGAAAATCTCTTGTGTGAGGCACTTCTGCAAATATCATCTTAAACTTTTATCTTTTCCTCTAGTTGATATCTCAAGCTGGGCCAAGCAAGACACGCTGCTTTCTCCTTTGTAACCTGATCTATTTTTTTTGAAGAAAACAATAAATAATACAATTAAAAAAAAACCAAAACCAAATCATCCAGATCTATTCAAATGGCCTTTTGGGGGTTCTAAGCATTATGACAAATTTAGTCTTTTTTTTTTTTTTTTTTTGTATAAATAGTAGTGTTTAATATGTATTTCCCAAAATAAATGTTTCAAATGCAACTAGAAGGAGGCTTGTTTGGAAATGTCTGTTCCCAGCCTTGGTATGGTTGTTGCTGCAGGGACCCCGTGGGGCTGCAGGTGATGAGTCAGTCCTGCTCCATCACTGCTCTGTTCTGCTCACTTTGGGATGAATGTTTTATTTACTCCTCACCTCAACTCTTCCTACCCCAGATACCTGCACCAGGTACTCTACAAAATGCCAGGTCAGTGCAGCCTCCATGTCCTTGCAAATCCTGAGGGAAGCAGGTGGGTCCCCTCCTTCTGCTTTCGTGGTGAAGCTGTTTCTACTGCAGTTGCTAATGTTTCTCTTAAGAAGTGGGTTGCATCTAGTTCAAGGCCAGACAGCATCTTGCCTGTCACACAAATGTGGCTTTGGCTTCACTGGCAGATGGTCTTCAAAACCCTTTGCATCTGCAGGGTTGGCCTTGGGGTGCCCTTGGAAGTTGGCTTCACTTTAAGGACTGGGCTTCCTGAAAACCATGTTTCTCCTTCCTGTTGCAGACAAGACATTATCCCGTCTGGTGTTTAATCTGTATCTTACACATCTATTGCATTTTTTTCCTCCTAAGTCAGTTGAACTCAAAAGCCATTGGACATTGTTGTGGGCAACCAGCTGTAGGTGACACTGGCTGAGCAAGTGGTTGGATGAGATGACCTCCAGATGTCCTTTCCACCTCAACCCCTCTGAGATTCTGCTGTTCTGGTACTGTATGAGAAGAAAACCAACAGGGCAGAAGTGAGGTTGGGTTTCTCTGGGTGTGTAGGGTACAGGAGAGGTTTATGTACATTTTTCTTCTGCTGGCGTCTGGGTTTCAGAGCAGTGAATCAGCTCATCTTGAGGTGTGCAGTGACGTTAGTTGATGAACACCCTTTGCCCCAAAACTAAACCCACTCCTAGCAGTACTGTTTGTTTTGTTTTGTGCTATAGTCCAGTTTTGTGGTTCCCTTTGCTCAGACACTCTTCACCTCCACAGCTTTTCTCTACCAAATCAATCTACTGAGGCAAAGTAAGATCAAGGTGTTATCGCTCGGAACTGGAGCAAGACCCGGAGCAAAAGCTCTTGGGGAGGAAAAAGAAAAAATCAACATGTAGTTGTAGTAATTTCAAACATGGACCATGGACTTTGCTTCTGCACAAGTTTGCAGCAGCTTTTCCCCGTATGCTGTATTTTTGTTGTGCTGTGTCTGGTTTTTCTGCATCTTTTCTCACTGTCAGCATCTGACCATGCTCATGGACCAGTGCTCTCCAGGCAGATGCTCTCCTGGTGACAGATTGAGAAATGGTCTGTGGCTGGGGCCAGGGGAAGGCAGAACCCCCCAGCTCAGCAATAAGGGCAGCTTTTGTTTAGCCCAGAGGAGGAGCTCGGCGGGTCAGAGCTTTGTTCGTGGGAATGGAGCAGGGAATCACTTCCAGATGTTCCAAAGCTCCGGAGATGTGGGGCTGGTGAAGGGAGAGCAGCAACACCAGATGCTTTGATGGAGCAGAGGTTTGTGTGGTGCTCTGGGAAAATCCCAGCTGGGGGAAGTGTTTGCCATTGTAAAATCCTCCCTCCTGTTCCCAGTGCCTTGGCTGAAGGGCAGGAGCATCACAGGAGGGGGGTGGATGGGGAAGGCTTGGGCAGAGGAGGAGGCAGGCGAGGGGCTTCTCCCCCTTCCCGTGCCCTCCCAAGCTGTCTGGAAGGGAAATTTGCCTAACGATGCTGTAGCTGACAGAAAGGGCCTTGCACTAATGGCTTATTGAGTGGCCTCACTTTAACAAATGAGGGAAATGAAGATGACTTAGAGTTTAATTACCGAGCAGAGCAGGGCTTTCCACTGCAACACGGGCTCTCATTCCTCTTTGCCTGCCTGTGGGAGGGAAAGGACCCCACCAGCACAGCCAGGCTCTTGGGGTGCCTGGTGGCACTGGAGGAGATGGCTGCTTGGTCAGGCTGTGCTGGAGGTGGGTCCCAGTTCCACCTGACCAGCCTGACCCAGCGATCATCACTGTCCAGAGAGGATGACTATAAATAATAAGAATAAAAGGGAGTATAAATAATTAAAGCAGCTCATAGTGAGTAGTTCCTGAAACGTCTGCCTGATTTAAAAACTAATTACTTGGAGGATAATCACCACCAGAAGCACATCATATATTTACCCACAATGCTGCTCTTCTCTTCCTTTTGCTCACCCTCTCCTGATTGCTATCCCAGGCAGCAGCACCCAGACTTATCACTCATCCCCACTGCTTAATAAACTGTGTTGTACTCGTCCATCTCCCTGATTAATAACGTCATTGGAGACCTGTTCAGGGAGGAATAAATCCTCTCTGGGTAGGAGGCCAGGTGCCAGCAGGAAGGGATGCTATAGCTGTGCAGTGCCTGCAGAGCCTGAGCTCTGGGAGCTCAGTCTGCCCCAAAGGGTCATCTCCTGCTCCAGGGACAGTCCCGTGGGATGAGTCTGTGCTCCCCAAACAGCAAGGCACGGCTGAGGCTCCATAAGCCTGGGTGCCCAAGGGGGATGTCTTATCTGCTCAATATCAGCTGCTCTTTAGAGGCTTTTCTGGATCATCTCTTACACACCAGCCCATAGTGTGCATCAAAACCTGCATTTGGTGACGTGGGACCCGTCCTCCCGGGAAACATCTCCTTTGATGTGCAAGCTGGGCTGCAGCAGGCACAGGCAGAGCTGCTGAGCTCAAGCTTTAATTACTGTGAAGCTGCTGCACTGCAGTTGAAAGAAAGCCTGGGGTTTTATAATCTTCCTTGTGGCTCCAGCAGAAAGGAGGATTTGTCCCTCCATCTCCACCCCTGTGCCAGCTCCTCATGATACCTCTGTCACACAAGATGCTGGCCCCAGCCTGCCTGCTCCTTCTCAAAACTACAGCAAAAACTCTTCCATGCACACAGCAAGTCAAAGTTTGTAAATGTTTGCTATGCTTTAGTCTGTATTTACCTGCCTGAGTTTGTGTCTGGTCTGATACAAATTAGTAATTCTCACCATCAGGCTGATTTAGGAGCAGTTTTGCACTGTTGCTTCAGTTAGGAAAACAGA